AAAACATCGACTCTCGCCTGATTGACCAAGATCGTGTTTCTGCAGTTTTAGCTCTAAGCTACAATGATTTGCCTTTCCACTTAATCATGTTTTCTCTATATGGGTCTTTTCCCTGAGGATTCCTCTATATCGAAAACAAAGTTGATACAATTGTGGGTTGCAGAAGGATTCTTACCACAACAAAGAGAAGAAGCTGCGGAAGGTGTTGCCGAAAATTGCTTAAACGAGTTGGTTGATAGGTGCATGATCCAGGTAGGAACACTAACCTCACTTGGAAGTCTTAAAGCCGTTCGCATGCATGATGTTCTCAGAGACTTCTCTATCTCCAAGGGCAGAGGAAAGTTTTCTTGAAATTTATAGTGGGCAGGAAATTGAATCGCCAACATCACAACGGACCAAATGTCGAAGGCTTGCAATCCATGGTGAACATGATAACCTGTATGTTTTTCTAAAGCCGTATGCCCCCTATTTACGCTCCCTTTTATTTTTCAACATACGGGATTCAAAATTCGACTTTGTTTTCAAGGATTTCAAGTTGCTCAGGGTCCTAGATGGTGTTCCCTTTCCATCTCGAGCCCTAAGTGTTGACGGACCAAATGTCGAAGGCTTGCAATCCATGGTGAACATGATAACCTGTATGTTTTTCTAAAGCCGTATGCCCCCTATTTACGCTCCCTTTTATTTTTCAACATACGGGATTCAAAATTCGACTTTGTTTTCAAGGATTTCAAGTTGCTCAGGGTCCTAGATGGTGTTCCCTTTCCATCTCGAGCACTAAGTGTTGTAGGAAACCTAATTCAACTGAGGTGTCTAGGAGTATTAATGAGAACAGATATGTGGAAACCCGATCTGCCTCGATCAATTGGAAAACTGAAGAATCTACAGACACTCGAAGTAACAAATTTCATACATCAGCCGTGTTTTCCTGATGTTATTTGGAAGTCGAAGAATTTGAGACATTTGGTGGTCGTCAGTCCACCTGCTGTAATGAATTCTAGATTGGTTTTCTTAAACAATTTAAGGACCCTAAAAGGGGTAACGGGTGGAGGATGGACATATGGCCGTTTAGCCAGCTTGACTAATCTGCGACGACTGAAAATAGTACAATTAGTGGGAGAAGAATTCAACTCAGTGGTTTCCAACATAGAGAGATTGCACTGCCTTGAATCCTTGTCGCTGGATTTTCTTTTTTGCAATTCTACATTGCCAACAGCCATAAGCCTTTCTCATTTGGAGCATCTCCACAAGCTCCATTTGAAAGGGAAAATAAAGAAGCTACCTGATCCACACCAATTCCCACCGAACCTCATCAAGCTAAGTCTTTTTCATTCCGATCTCGAGGAAGATTCAATAGTTAAGCTTGGGAGGTTGCCAAACCTAAAGATGCTTCTCTTGGGATACGATTCATACAAGTGGAGAAAACTGGTTTGCTCCTCCTCGGAAGGGTTTCCTCAGTTGCACATTCTACATCTACAAAATTTAGATGAATTGGAGGAGTTGATAGTGGAAGAAGAGGCAATGATGAAGCTCAAGAATCTAAAGATAGACCGCTGTCCAAGTTTGTGGAGGATTCCAGAACGATTTAAGTTATTGACTACAAACTCTTGAAGGAAGGGGATTTATATTGGCTGGTCTGCCTTATTTCTTTAAATTTCTCCCTGTCCGCTGGTCTGTCTATTTCCTCCGGTTCTACTAGCTATTTGGGTTATTTTGCAGGCTGTTTGTTTGGCTTTTCCTAATAAAAGTTTGTTGTTCGTCGAGTGTTAATTTCTGAAAGAAAATACTACGTAATTGAGTTGAGGGTGGGTTTGCATTGTTTTGCTGCTGTTTTTCTTTTGTTTTTCAAGCTTGCTGTTTGATTGCTTGAGTTGAGGATTATTCTGAGGCTGTACCGTATGTATGCCGGTCCATTATAATATAAAACCGACATAATTCTCCATCAAATCACTTTAAAATGTTCATAATTTATTCAATTTCAAATTACTAAAAGAGGAAAAATTGCATGAAACCAACTACGTTTGATTTGATTCAATTGGGTTCTCACATCCGATCCAATGCCAGATTTGAAATTTAGCAATCCAATGCAATATGCAGATAAATGCAGGCTTATTTCTGATGCAAGCCTCAGGCTTGTTTTCAGCCCTTTTGGGACACGGATGAGTAAGATTGCTTTTTATCTGTTTTGGCCATCACAAGTAACTCGAATTCATGT